TTTTCTACTTTGGATTTGAAGTCTAGAGAAATGAACTCAGTAGTTAAAGAGAATACGCCCTTTAGCACAAGATCTAAGCTGTGACAAATTAACGTTATGCCGTTTGGACTCTTTAACGAATTTACGACATTTGAGGGGCTTATGAAGAATGTGTTAAGAGGGTTATCTTGGAAAAGGTGTCTGGCGTACTTAGACGACATAATGTTCTGGAGGGAGATTTTTAAAGACCATATGAAGAATTTAGAAAACATTTTTAATTGACTTAAAGCTTCCCAATTGATATTTAACCCCAAGAAGTACCAGATATGTCAAAGTAAAGTCAACTACTCTAACAAACATCAAGTAAGAAGTTTTCTTGGGCTATTTACGTACTAAAGGAGGTGCATTATGAAATTTGCAGATATCGCTAAGCTATTAACACGACTTACAGAGGAAGCAAGCGATTGCTGCAGGGATGGAGACTGTCAAACTGGAAAACTCAAAACCTTAAAGAAGCATTTTATCACAGCACCAATATTAAGGTATCCACTGCCAGGAGAGTTTATCTTAGATACAGATGCAAGTAAAGTGGGAATTGGAGGAGTACTATCTCAGATTCAAGGAGAACTGGAACAAGTTCTTTAATATTTTAGTAAAAGTGCTTTCAAAACCTGAGCGAAATTATTTCGTCACAAGAAGAGAAATTCTAGCAGTAGTGAAATCAGTAGAACACTTCTATCAGTATCTCTATGGAAGGAAGTTCTTAGTCCGAATCGATCATGCCACCCTTAAGTGGTTAATGTAGTTGTTAAGAATTCAGACGATCAGATAGCTAGATGAATTGAACGAATCCAAGAGAAGCTTTATTGGAAGATGACACGTCACGTCGCATTCGGAGTCTGCCCGAGACTAATGGATATTGATGTGTAGAATTTTGTTTTATAATTAAACCTATCTATATCATTTCCTTTAAATCCAAATGCAGCGTACTTTTCTTTCCGCTAAAGTTGACTTAATTCTTGATAGACTATACTAACGGTAATTTTGGTAATTTTAAGTATACTATTGCTTATTGGTATGTATATAGGATTATGATGACGTTCGTCAATGGATTATCGCAAAATAAAGAATGTTGTGCGCAGGTCTGTCCTCGTAGAAGGCTCCTTCGGTAATGTTACATTTAAAAAGTAGACTTGATACTTTTATGTTTACAGGTTCGTCTGAAGAATGCATTTATGCTGGTGTCAGCACTATTTTAGAAAAAGCCCAATAGTTGACTATCGTCTTTCTCGAAAGTAATTAAAAGTATTACGTTAGGAATGTCCTACGGTTAATTTTCGCAAGAATCTCCTGGGTTGAAAAAATACAAAATTAAATTCTATTACAAAAAATTACTTTTGTATTAAAATACACAAATGTGACTTAAAGTTTTATTTAATTCAGTATGTTTCGGTGATACAAATTCGACTAACTCTACGCAATTGTATATATTCTTATAATATGATATTCGATACTCTCTACATTCTCAGACAAATAAGTCATTACATTTTAATTGCCTTCACCAGCCTTCAGCCCGAGAGACGATACGCTGATTATGGGATTTTTAAAATAAACGTTAAGTATTTACTCGACATTCTGCCACCTTGAGAAATTTTACATACGAGGCATGTTTTTTAAGTAAGTACCGTTTGGCGATTCCGCCGCCGCAGCGCTACGGTCGGCGTTCTGCGCATGAGCGCTGGTTACCTACATCTCTTGTCTACGCACTGACGCCATTACAGTCTGATTCTTGATTGTATACTTGTTTACTCCAGTAAAGATGCCTCCAACAATCGTGAGTCACGCTGATTGTGAAGTACGGGCTGTTATACGATTTCTTAGTGCTAAGGCATAAAACCGATCGATATTCATCATGAGATCGTTGAAATTTATGGACAAAACATTTATGAGTGATGGAATGGTAAGGAAATGGGTGAGAGCATTTAAAGATGGCCACACAAATGTGCATGATGAAGAACGGAGTGGGCGTCCTTCGGTCATTAATGAAAATTTGGTGCAGAAAGTGGGCGAAAAGGTGAGAGAAAATAGACGCTTTACAATTTCATCATTGTCCGACTGCTTTCCTCAGTATTCTCGTAGTGTTTTGTATCGCATTGTTACCGAGAACTTGAAGTACCGGAAATTGTGTTCACGTTGGGTTCCACAAATGTTGACGGATTTGCACAAAACCCAACGTTTAGGCAGTGCATTGACTTTCCTTGAGCGGTACCACAGTGAAGGTGAAGATTTTTAGACCAAATTGTTACTGGTGACGAAACATGGATGGTTTACGTCACACCAGAATCGAAACAACAATCCATGGAATGGCGACATTCATCATCACCCAAAAGAGTGAAGTTTAAGCAAACAATTTCTGCCCGGAAAATCATGTGCAGTTTTTTGGGAGAGAAAAGGAGTATTGCTAGTGGAGTTTCTGCCTCGTAATGAGACAATCAATGCATCGTCTTATTGTGAGACATTGAAAAATCTGCGTCGTGCAATCCAGAACAAAAGACGTGGCAAGTTGAGTAAGGGTATCGTTTTGCTGCATGATAATGCCCATCCACATGTGGCTAATCAGACCAAAGATCTCATCAAATCATTTAAATGGAAAATTATAGATCATCCTCCATACTCCATACAGCAAAAGATGCAGAGAGTTACGAAAAAGTCATGAAAATATCAATTAAATCTTAAAGGAGTTTTCACCACCCGGCCACAACGCGTATATCTTTCATTTAAGTCGGGTGCTCTGCTTTTTATCACTCCCGCACTTCATTCACTTGGTTCTTCCTCAAACTGGAGTCGACCAACGTTCTCTTGTAAGTACCGTTACCAACCGTCGACCAACCTCTCTGGAACCGTCTGACTTCCACAGGGTAGAGTATTATCTTGGACATTTTCGCCAGTAGTAACTGTATCGACGATCTCCACCAGGTAAAGCCATTGTAATGGTCTCAGAAGTTGCCCTTGTGCAGTCGCAAGACGAACCAACCTTACCCGGCCATTCCTACCAGGTATAAGTTCAATAACTTTTCCTAAAAGCCACTGAAGACGCTTGATGTTGCCATTGCCGACTAAAACGACATCCTTGATAGACACTTTAGATACCTTCGGCTTCTTCGTTCCTGCTTCGAGTTGAGCTAGATATTCAGCACGAAATGTTTTTCGCAAATGATTTCTCAACTCTTATAAACGCTTTATTTTGCGTGTGAGAGAATTCTGCTCTAGCAAATCACATTCGGGCAACTCGTAACTTGACTTGTTCCTTTAAAAACATACTTTAGGTTAACGCGGTTAACTCAGTAGAATCGTCCGAAAGATACGTTAACGGAAACGAGTTGACTATACTCTCACAATAAGTCTTCATAATTGAGAGACGCTCGACCTAAAACTTTTCGCAAAAGTCCCTTCACAATACCTACTAATCGCTCCCAAAATCCACCCCACCATGCAGCTGTAAGAGGGTCGAAACGCCACTTAATACGTTGTGTAGAACTATATTCCGCGATAGTATTCCAGTCCAATTGCTTAAGCACGTTCTCGAATCCCGTAAAATTTGTTCCATTTTCAGTATAAACTATTCTTGGTCGTCCTCGCCTTACAACAAAGCGACGAAAGGCTTGAATAAAGGCATTTGTTGACAACGACGTAACGAGTTCCAGATGAACTGTACGATAAACGGCACAAGTAAACCCATGGTTTTTCACCCGATTTCAAGTAAAGAGGTCTCGCTAAGTCCACTCCGAAAATTTTAAAAACTGTAGTATCCCGAATTCTATCAGCCGGCAAGGAGGCGTTTGTACTTCGAACGATTTCCGTTCTTGTCTCTTGCACACATCACATTCTTTTAAACTGGACCCACAATCCGTCTACACCCTAGAGTCCAGCAAACTAAGTAGACCCTCTTTTAAAACGTTTGTAAATCGATTGGTGTCAATAAGATACACCTGTATCCTCAATCAGATGGAATGGTCGAGATGATGAACTGAAGGGTAAACACTTGTCCAAAGTTGTGTCCGAACATCAAAGAGATTGGGACCAGCATATTCATTTATTACTAAAGGGCTACCGCTTGGCCGTGAATGAAACTACAGGCCTGCTGATGGGTGGTGATGTTCGTTTGCCCTGCGACGTAGAGTTTAGGTTCCGAAAGTACATGTTGCAAACGACGAATATGTCGGCCACCTGAAGTTAAGAATGAACAACATATATGAACTTCTCCTACAGCACATCCAGTGAGCCTGTGACAGAATAAAAGATCAATTTGGTTCTCGATGCAAGAATGAAAGCTTTGACGTAGGTGATCTTGTTTGGCTTTATAATCCACAAAAGGGTAAAATTTGCGAAAATGGGATCGCGGGAAAATGTGCAAGTGAACTATTTAAACACGTTTACGTAGTAAAGAAAAATACAAATAGTATTACAATAACGTATGCTTAAAAAAAAAGAAAATAGGATTATTAAATAAAACATCTCTTGTTTTAGAAATACAGTAAATTCAGAGGGTCAAAATAATGAATTACGAAATTTTCTTTGGCACACAAGTACCAATAGAACTGTTAATATTTACATTAAGAACTGTTCAAATTTATTTAACTACAAGCAGAACTGTTAACATTTATAATACAATATATTTATGTTTTACAGATCTCTTTTAACACACAGTATACATAATCAGTGTGATTTCGTCTTTTTTGTATGTTGTATCAGCGCGTGTTTACTTGAACAAACTTTGTGTCGAGGGTATACAAAATTTTCTTGACATCTTATTCTGGAATTTATAGCAAAAGATGTGTCCTACTTATTCTATCATTTCTATAAAGAAAATAAAGCTTTCAGTATATTGAACTCCTTTTAAAAGGTATATGCGATACTTCTCATTCTTCCATTTTTCTTTTCTTTTTAAAATATGTGAAAAGTCAACAATACAAAGCAAAAATAATAAAGAATTCCATAATATCAAAAACACATTTTTTTTTCAAAACATTTATTACAAATCTAGTAAAAATATACAAAAGTATTACTAAAATATACAAAAAAAATAGCTAAGAGCACTTTCAAGTTTTAAATATTTTAATTTTGAAAAATATCTGATCTTCAATCAAATTTTGAATCTCATTATGTGTGAACATTATTACTGCCATATCATCATCAAAAGCAGTTTTTAAATCTGTCATTAGACCACAACAACTTGTCCTACGTAACCCAGATTTTTTGTTTTTGTCTAAAATATCTATATCAAACCGGTAACTGGAACTTTCATACAAAGGCTCCATAAACTGAGCTGTGAAACAAAGTTTACTATTCGTATATAGCGAAAGTAACTTAAATATTTTAGACTCATATATGACAAGAAAACAACTTCTAACAATACTTTTAGGAGTACTATTTTTTTCACTACAATTTATCTGCAATATTTCATCGTGGTTTTTAACAATGTGACCATAAACTTCGTCAAAATAAGTCTCTTCATAATAATCAAAGTGTTCTTTTAATTGACAATTTGTAGGTGAATAAATGCAAGTAGTTTGATGTTTCCTAATGTCTTTTGATTTGGTTACAAACTTGCATCCATTATATTTGCAAGGATAATTGAGATGCTCAATGATATGAGCAAGTGCAAAGTTTTTGGTGTTCTGGAATTCTTTTCTACAAATGGGACACTCTTTAATTGATTCTTTGCATTCCTCACATATACTGTGACCGGTTAAACATTGGTAAATTGGAGGTAACATATATTCACAGCAAATCTAAAACAAAAGTATATATTAACAGATATATTTTTTTAAATCTATACATAAACAGTTCTTTCAGTGTATTTTAAATAATTTAGTACCAAATCTTCCTAACTATCCAGGGGGAGCGATGACCCACACTCGCGGCACCTGCTACACGTGATACTATAACTAACATTTATAGTATCATGCTGCTACATAGTCAGTCGTTCAGTGCTTCTTCAACCTGCAGTAGAGTGAATTGATGTGCTGACTTGTCCATGTTCCTTAGTGTTTTGATTATTGTGTTCAGTGAACTACGATGAGTTCTAAGAGGAAACGTGTGGTATTATCGTTGGCCGATAAAATTAAAATTATCGAACAGTTGGACAAAGGTGTGTCGGGTAAACATTTAGCCGAGGTGTACAAAGTGGGAAGGTTAACAGTATCTGACATAAAAAAAAATAAATTCTCTATTGTAAACTTTGTATCCGTCCTCGAGAATGAAGACGGGAGTTCATCGAGAAAGAGTATGAAAACTGCTGAAAATAAAAAATTGGAAGAAGTGGTATTTAAGTGGTATTGCAGCAACATTAGGGAACCCTCTTTCAGGCCCTATTATTTGTGAAAAAACTATGCTTTTTGCCGAAAAAATGGACAGTGTGGGTTCATTTAAAGCGAGTAATGGGTGGCTATGAAATTTTAAAGCCAGGCACGGAATCCGGGAGATGGACCTAAATCAAGAGAAGCTTTCAGCTGAGCCTAAAGCTGCTGAAAACTTCATTGAAACTTTTAAAGTTGAATCAGATTCTTATGACCCTGAGTTTGTATACAATGTTGATGAAACGGGCCTAAACTGGAAAGCCTTGACAAAAACTACATTGGCTTCCAAAAGAGAATCAAGTGCTCCTTGTCACAAAGCAAGCAAAGAGCTTGTGACTACCCTTAATTGTGCTAACGCAACCGGAAATCATAGATTACCCCTACTCATGATAGGAAAATCCAAAAATCCCAGGGCATTCAAGAATGTGAAAAAATATAACGTATGTAAATGAATGTAAAACTTCCAGTCGTCTATAAAAACCAAAAAAAGGCTTGGCTAGTTTATTTACAGAGTGGTTTGATGAAGTGTTCATATCTGAAGTCAAAAAACATCAAAAGACAGTAGGAAAAAAGGCAGCAAGGTGCTGTTACTTCTTGATAATGCACCCTTCCAACCCCCTAAAACCTGCTAGAAAGAGAAGATAGAAGATTTTAAGCAATGTTTTTGCCACCAAACGTAACGAGTTTGTTACAGTAGATGTATCAGTTGGGTAGTGAAACAATGAAGCATTATTACAGGAGACAATTGATTAGGAAACTGTTGATAGAAAATGAATATGAAGAAGGCATTGTCGCTCATCACAAAAAATCAATTTAAAAGATTGCTCGTATATGGTGGCGGAAGCGTTGAAATAAATTGAAAGAAATTTCAACAAAGGAGGAGCTACAAAAAGAGAAGGAAAAGAAGCAGCGCTAAAAAGAAGAGGAAGAGAGAGAGGAGGAAAGTGACGAGGTAACGGTTGAAGAAATCAAAGGTATCATCGTAAACATTCCCGGATGTTCCGAGTGCAGTGCAGAGAATGTAAAGGAGTGGTTGTTAAGTGATTCTACGGATCCCGGAATCCAGATTCTCGATGATAATGAACTAGTCCAAAGTGTTGTGACAGCAGGAAGTGATGACCCTGAACCGGAAGACGAGGACTTCGCTACCGAGCTAGATGAGGGGCCGACTGCGAGTGAGGCATTTGTAGGGCTCAACACCGCGCTTAAATGGATGGAGCGGCAATCAGAGTGTGACCACCTGCAATTACTCACCGTCAAAAGAATGCGAGACTTGGCGGCGCGGAAATGATTCAAGTCAGCAAAACAACTGACTGCCTGATATGTTAAAAAAATAATTCATTTTACTGTGATTCAGTATTGTGTGTCAATATTACGTAATGTAAACTTTTTCATTTACATATTGTTGTGTATACTGTATTGCTTTTCATAATAAATACCGTATATGTTCTCCGTTGTGTTTTGCTGTAATTACGTTTCTTTCCCGGAAAAGACCTTTTTCGAGAAAAATCCAATTATCCGGATTTTTGATTATCCGGATCGCGTCCGGTCTCAATTAATCCGCATAATTGGAGTTCTATTGTAGTTTAATTTGTGTTTTGAGAACGATTTCCGGAGTGGAAACCGAAATTGTGGTTAATTTCCAATAAAAACAGTAAATAATATTACAATGCCACTGGAGAATACCTTAAACACCATCAAATAACGCCAAATAGTAATGTCAAATTATTAATACATAAAAATGAGATAATAAAAACACAGAAAAATATTCACATGAGATTTTTTTGCATAACCACTTTCATGAGATACCCAAGAATAAGGTTTAAGAGGCCACCCATGCGAAAAGTGATAATTTATCTGAATAATTTTTTAACCAAATTGTAAACATCAAGTTTTTCGCCCCAAACAATTATTATGACGATATTCAAGGCTCAAAGACACAAATAAAAAATATTATTTTTTAACTCACCAAGTAACTAAATTCGAGTTTAAACCTTGTTCTATCAGTTTCCGATAAGTATTCTGGGCTTATTTCATTTTAAAATATTGTCTTTTAGTTGTTAATGAAGCAGGGCTTATGACAGCGCTGCCGCGCGTCTGGCCGCCAACGTTTATTAAGCCTTTTCACTGTAACAGGTCTATGCTTGTATTTTGTGGTGTATAGTCTACATTAGTTTTTTAACCAAAATTTTTAGCTTGTCATATAACAGCAACATTTTGCCAGCCATACATGCATCCACGGGTTGTGATACCATCAAAAAATTGGCACAAAACATAAATCTTTGGATCTATTTGAGTTTGAAGAAAATCAAAATGACCTGATTCCTATGAAATAAGTCAAATATTATTTAATTTGATGTTTATTGATAATTGGACATATATTATTATAAACCAAAGAATCCGTAACGCCATAGTATCGACTAAAGCTTATCCAGAGGCAGAAATAGCAAGTGACTATTACCTTGTTTTAGCAGACATGAAACTCAAACTAAAGAAAATAAAAACAGCCAAAGCAAATTAATCTAAGATTAAAAGAAGCTGATCTCTGCCAACAAAACAATAATAAATTAGGACCACTAAATACACAAGGAAGTCCAGAAAGTAGAAAGACAAGGACAACTTCTCACTACAGAAAAATGGAGAGAGTTAGAGAAGATCCTGAGGAACATCATACAAACACAACTGGAAGGCGATACATCCCCTAAAACCAAACAATGGATAATACAAGAAATAAAGTCGATGATATCGGAAAGGTGGAAATACCAGAATAAAAACGAACAACAATACAAAAACGTAAATAAAACAATCATACAAAAAACCAAAGAAGCGTATGAATTGTAGCTACCAGAAAAATGTGCAGAAATAGAAAGGTTAGAAAAAAACAAACATGACAGCTTTAACATATATAGGAACATTAGAGAAACAGTCCAGAAAGTAGAAACACAAGGACAACTTCTCACTACAAAAAAATGGAGAGAGTTAGAGAAGATCCTGAGGAACATCATACAACAACAACTGGAAGAATGAAATACAAGAATAACAACGAACAAAAACACAAAAATGTAAATAAAACAATCAAACCAAAAATCAAAGAAGCGTAGGAATTGTGGATAACAGAAAAATGTACAGAAATAGAAATATTAGAAAAATAACACGACAGCTTTAACATATACAGGAAAATTAAAGAAGCAGCTGGCATATACAAAAGAGGTATTGGAAACATATTGCGCCAAAAACAACAAAATAATAATTGAAAGCACTAAAACGTTTAAAAAATGTTAAAGCCATGGGACCCGACATTAATATACTCGTAGATTATTCAATGACATTTACTATACCGGAGAATTTTCGAAAAAAATTCTAATATCCTAGTTTATTCCAATACTCTAAAAACGCAATGCAATGAAATGTGAAGAATATAGAAAGATCAGCTTGATGAACCATATTTTAAAAGTCCTCCTGAGAGTGATACACGGACGTGTCTACAAAAAATAACAGGAAACCAATTGGGATTTAGAAAAGGCTTTGGCACTATAGAGGCATTATTTACTATACCGACACTCATAAAATGGTGTCGAGATGTCAACTGTGACGTGTTCATATATCTAGTTGACTTTGAGAAAGCCCCCAACAAAATACAACACAGAAGACTGGCAAACATATTATAAAACAGAAATAGATGATCAGGGTGTGAGAATCATTACAAATTTATACCAATATTAGAAAGTCATAATACTAGTAGACCAACAAAAATCTAAAGAGATACCTATAAGAAGAGGAATACGACAATGATGTGTACTATCCCCTCTATTTTATAAATACATGTTCAGAAGAGATGTTTAAAGAGGCATTGGAAGACATAAATGAAGGCATATCAATTAACGGAACACTAGTGACTAATCTCAGGTATGTAGATTAACACTATAACACTGTTAACACTATAAAGGAAAGAAAAAATGAGAACTTATATAATACCAAAGGATCAAAAATAATACCCAAGATCCAGCGAAGTACCGCCCAATTACTTGCCTTCCAACTCTGTATAAATTAGTCACATCTTGTGTAGCCCAGCGTATCTACCAAAACTGCGCTCTAAACAATATCATAGAACCTCAACAGAAAGAATGCGCTAAGCGTTTTATGGGCTGCAAAGAACAACTTATTATCGACTCGAGTCATTTATAACCAGACATACATCAAAAAAAGGAACCTCTTCACTGACTTTATTGACTATAAGAAAGCCCCCAGCTATCAGCTCCGCTGATAGTGGATTTCCTTGTGAACACTTCCCTGATTTCAATATTGATATTCCAAATTGAAATTGCGCTATACTTTGGTTTTTAATACTCTATCGATTCCTATTTCAGAAGCCAACGAGTAAACATCGGGCTTCCTACTAATAGTATTTTGAATAAAAACTTGTTTAGTTTAAT